TGCAACAATATTGGACCGGGCATCTCGCTTGTTCTCAGTCCACATCTTAAGTACACATATTTCATGGTTTTCCTCAGTCATTCAGTAATATACTGTAAAAGCCCACGACTAGTAATACCACCATCTTCACGCTATTTGCCTTTCAGTGCATACAACTTTATGAAACTCAAACACTGAGAAACAAAAATCTGGTGCACCTAATTCTTAACTGTGGTTTGCGTCTTCGCAGCCAACAAACAGAAGGTACCGAGGACATGAAAAACTTTCATACAACTTGAAAGCGTTCCTCTCAGGAATGACAACACAATCTGTCGTTAAACCAATATTTTTAGAATCACTGGACCGAAGCCTGTCTTGACACTTAACATTACACAGCAGACTCTTGACTATCCTACCCAGAAAAGCTGTGAAATATATTTTCTCGGATAATTGAAACCCAGATAATCTGCAAAAATTAAAGAACAACATGCAAATGTAAAAAAATACTTGGGTTTATTTACAGACATACACGACTCACATTTTTAAAGATTTAGTGACAACAGAAATGCTTATATTTAAAATTTAATACAGTACTTGCCAAATATTTTCTTAAAAAAAGGTTTACGGTGGACAGGAATAATGTTCTACGGTCATAAACAACTGATTTATGTTAATACGTTAAACAATGTCGCTGTTGTATTTCTTCCTTTATTTTTAAACGTTCTAGCTTTCACAACAGATTATGCAAATCAATTTTTAATTTTCATTAAATCCAGATAAACCCCAGTTAATCCACTCGAAGATAATTGGGAGTCTAGCAAATGAGGAATAAAAGTCGCCTTGCCCACGTGTTCACTCCAGGAGTCGCTGTCATAAATCAGCATTATCCTAGGGATCATCACGTTCAGTACAAAATACGCTCCGTCTGCACATGTCAACACTAGGCACACGCCTTGAATCATCCAATTTTCTGTCTGTGTGTGCAGGCCGTAATTGTCATGACAACGTCAGGAAGACTTTAACGGTTAACATCAAACAAGCGAAGAAACTGCCACGCTCATTTTCAGGAGAGACGCAGACTGGAGCACCCACTATTGTGACCAAGACATCTAAGTCTTCCCCATTCATCCTAATTCATCTTACTGAAGTTGACAAGAGCATCTACACATCCCATAAACCAACTGTTCAAGGCACTGTGAATTTTTTGGAACTCATTTTGTCATTGTCAGAAACTCAAGTAATCCTCATTACAGTATCAGCTCTGACGGGGAAACAGAAGACATCCAGATTAAGCAACGCAATTATTACATTCCAAAAGCTGCACCTCTTCACGCACAAACCACCCCAGCGAACGACTTACCTCCAAGTACCCAACGGGCCCGCTGAACGGATAGTCTCCGAGGCGGCGTTCCTCATCCAGGAATTTGCCAGCTTTACCGTTCACAGGGGGGCAGAATAGGCCGTAGTTAAAGCTCTCCTTCAGTTCCTGCAACATGCAGCACAGACATGTGGTCCAAGTGCCAGACCTGTGACTTTTAAGTCAGATTTCACACCAAATGACACAAATTCAATTATGAAGACTGGATTATGCTGAAAACAAAGTTCAATTTCACAGGAGAATGTGTGCGCAAATTATGTAAAAATCAAGCAGTACCATCTATACCAACATATAACACATAACTCCAGACCCTATTACCTTAACATCCATTTTAATATCATTCCACTTCATTTTAAGACTTCCAAGTAACTTTCCCACAGGTTTACACACCAAAATTCTGGAATATATTCTTATCTTCCCATCCACGATGTCATGACCCTAATAACACGTGGCCTGTGTGTGGAGTTTATTATTCGTAATGTAGTGTTTGAGGTTTTCGTGACAATGTGAGTGAACACTTCATTGTCGTGTGGTTTAAAAAATATTTTGTTGCGCCCACAAGGCTACAGAGCACAACAAACGAGAAGGCCACAATCTAATCAACTCCATGTACTTTACTGTATTCATCTCTGTTTTAGTTCTCTAATTGGCCACTTTCAAGAATTTTCCATCACAAACCTCCACATTTCTGCTTCCTAAATGGGGACACATCAACCAAGATGTTTCATAAAAGAAGCAGAGTTTACTAAAACTTGCTCAAGAGAGAGAATTACCATCAGACTGACCTTACATCAGTCTTAAATTTTATTGTTCTTTTCACATTCCACCAAGTATTTTTCTGCAAACAATCATATAAAAATATAACCAAGACTGATTGATTTTATTTTTGCAAGACATCAATATCGTGCCCCCCCCCCCCCAAAAAAAAGCAGCACACACATTTCTCCTGACATCTTTATTTCCAGAGAAGATTCTGGATGAGTGTGTTCAAAAATGATCTCTATGCTTATGAGAATAAAAGTACAACCAGTAAGACACTTAACAAAATATTTTCATACTGTTGCAAGAAAAAGACTTATTTCATTAACTTCTACCCAAATCACAAACTACCAAAACTTCTATTGACATTTATTGTTACTTTTATGGAAAATGGGAAAATTACGTAACAGGAGTACATATCACATGCTTAAACCACTTTGAAAAGCAGCTGGAAACATCTACGGAATTAGGATGGGGGGGGAAAAGCATGCATTACAACCGACTGTCCAGACCGGTCTCAGATAAAAAAAACTGCATCTGATTCTTGAAGTACTTCTCTCGCAACCCGACCACATACCATAGACATAGATCTCTCCGTGACAGCGGCTGTCAACACAATCATTTCGCGAACCTTGTCACTTTTAAAACACAAAATATCCAATCACAACGGCACCTTCTCCTGCCACAGCACAGACTAAAACTGCACGCGGTGTTTCCCTTCTCGAAAGGGAAATGACGTAGTTGCGACAACACAGTGCAAATGCGAAACCACAGCGACGCCATGGAGCAGAGTCCTTCACAGAAGCTAATAGTCAGCAAGAAATTCCCTGCCTTTTAAGGAAGCCTGGCGCCCACACAAAACTTTCACTGGTCGCAACCCTAAGACAGATCAACTGAATCCACACAAATCCATTTTCATACTGTCCTTCCATTTATACCTAGGTCTTCGAAGTGTTCTGCACCATTCGGGTTTTCCAAAGCAAAGCATTTCATCATTATGTAATTTCCGCCATCTTAAATTCAAATATTCTCCTAAGCCCTCAATCTTTGGTATTCCTTTGATACGACACGAGCTTAAACAAAGGAGGTTTAGTAACACCTGAGGGAGTGTGTGGCGTTATTTCGCTCCACGACAGTGGATTTCAATCTAACGTAATTTGCATTTGGTACTGTCACTCCCAAATAAATGAATCTTGCAATATTAATAAAACATGGACTTAAAACGTAAGATCAGAACTATACTGCGTAATGCAATGAACAATATTAACCAAGGATAAAATTACGTTAAAAATTAAAAATATATTAAAATTGGCCGTCAATCACAATATAAGATAATTAAAAGATTAAAATATCATTTTACGTTCCTTATCGAGTACTCGATTTACATATGGAACATTTACGACATGTTTCGGCTATATGTTCCACATGTAAATCGAGTACTCGATAAGGAACGTAAAATGATATTTTAATCTTTTAATTATCTTATATTGTGATTGACGGCCAATTTTAATATATTTTTAATACTTATAAATCACAATATGACGCATCTACAATATCTTACGTTAAAAATATAAATAAAAAATTGTTTGTTACGTGATTGAAAGCGTCTGTTACAAAGAAGGGTCAGAGTTATATAAAACTTTCTTTTTTGCATATTCAACACAAATTTTACGCAAAAGTCAGTAAAAAAAAATGAAGCTGTAAGATACGAACATGACGGAAATCGCGTATCACGGGCGACAGAACACCAGAAAAATCTAGTGAACGGGATTGGCTACTTAGTTTCGTGTCATTTGCATTTAAACTTACTCCAAACAGAATCAGAAAGTTAGTGGATCTTAAAACGTGAAAATTTAACTCTTCCTGGATCAATCCTGCCAGTATTTAATCACGACCTTTGAGCTGATGGTTCATCCTCATTTCTGTTTCAGTCTGTGCGTGTTTAATATCAGGATAAAAAAAATGTCTTCGCCTATTCAGAATGTTGCGGGAATCACCTATTTTTATCATTTACAAAAAACAATTAAAAATTCGTTTCCTTTAAATTAATTTATGCCTCTGTTAACAACATTCTCCTCTACAAAATCAGACATCAATTATCCTTGAGTGGCAAGACATGTCTTCACATCACTTTCTGAAATATTTGTAATCCATTCCATTGCCACGTCAAAATTCGGAATCAAACTCCACTATCCGTCATCAAGGCCACCAGAATTCTGGTTCTTCGTTGCCCTTATCCAGAGTAAGTCCGGCCACTAGGTCAGGGGTCACGTGACGTGTGCAGCGAGCATTCCATGAGTCGTGTTTCACGTGGTACAACTCGTCCCAGGAGTCTGTGCGCGCGTAAGTACGTTCTAAAAGCTATACATAACACAAGAGACATCGCCTCGCGGACGTTATAACGCAAAAGCAGGCGAAAGGAAGATCAATTTCTCTCGGTACAATTAAGAGATTTCAAAATCAGTCCCAATGACTCTACAATTATGGGGTGACACGGCGTACAGATCAACTGTTTAAATTACACTAGTCACATTTTTAAGCAGAAATTGCAAATAACCTACTACAGTGTTGCCAATGTTGTCTCTTAACCAACAATTCTCATTCGTTTATGTCGTACATCTGATTGATTTCACTTCGGATCATCGAACGTGCGTCAATATTAGACTGAAATAAAGTTTCTTTTAGGGAATAAACACGAAACAAGATAAACATCAGATTCCATTGAACCATAAGAGAGATAAACACACAGACGTTCTTTCAGACAGTTAAATTTATGGCATCAGACCTGACAGGTTCAAATGACTAAATTTTATAAGAATTTCGGCTACTACTCAAACATCATATCACAAAAAAAAAAAAAAAATATATATATATTTGACTGAGTTCATGGAAAGCATCTGTGAAACATGTAAGGAAATATAGCATTACTTCATATGGCATTCTGCTGTATGTTAATGACGTATAACAAATACGAACAAAGCATTTCCTCACGACAGTCCACACAGAAGGTTAGGTTACGTCCGAGGTGTTTCATAACCCAAGCAACCACTTGCAATGTCACTCATTCCACGCGTTCCTGCATCTCACTGCCTACTTGACGAACTTTACACATCGCACTACCAACTTCACAAGCGTACATACCAACTTACAAACTTCGAACTTCCTTACAGCAAATTCAATCGGAAAACATTCACTGACGATAATTTAACACTCATATTCCCTGGCCAATCTTACAATCAACGCCGAGTCCACTAATTTTCGGTCCTCGGTGTCCATCATCAACTGAGTATCACCGCATACCTAGTCGAGAAATTCCCCTCCTTTAATGGAATCCCAAGGTTCGTTACCGTGATCACAAAATCCCGCCACCGGTCCCTAACCTAAGCCGGATAAATCCAAATCCACACTCCCCAACACTAATTCCTCGAGACAAATTTAATATTTTTCCTCCTGTATACGCCTAGGTCTTCCGAGTGGTCTCTCCCCTCCAAGCTTCCCAGCCAAACTTTTGCATGCATTTCATATCTCCCCATACACCTCGTTACATGTACGGCGCAGATCATCTGCGACAAAGCCTGTCCTCTCGTTCTCAGTGACCCCAGTTTGACCAACCTAAAAATGTCTTGATAGTCACGTGTCGTACAGCTTCCACGAAGTTTTGATACTTTGGTAGTTCAATTTTCGAAGTTCCAAAAAAACTGGTCTTAAGAACTCAATCCGCGCTGACCTGTTAACATCGCATTTCCCAAGCACGTGAACCTCTCGCGGGCCACCGCGGTAACAAGCCGACGACCTATCATCTGACGTATCACACGGCCTGCGACAATCAGCTGCTACGAGTACACGCGAAATTAAAAGGCCCTCGGGAACAGGGAAGTCCTGCCCCACACGACCTCGGACCTCGGACCTCGGACCCAGCCTTAGTAAATCTGATATTAAAGTGTCCTAAGCCAGTGGTATTTAACCTGGGGTACGCGTACAGCCACTGAAGTACTGAGTAGGATTTGAGGTTTTCAAGGTGATGGTGGATGAGTCTCAAGATGACTGTCTTCTGGGTTGTAGCGCCGTGTAGTCTGGTAGAAGTCCACCGACCTTGCCGCCTCCATCATCAGCGCATCGCAGTGGGCACGGAGACAGGTGTCTTAAGGGTACGTCAAAGAGAGGGGGGGGGGGGGAAGCCTCGCGAGGAGGAGTCGGAGGGTAAACAAAATCTGTCTTGATCCCGACGTTCAGTCGGCGTAGGGGCCGCGAGAGAACGGACTATCGATTCTTTTACCTTGGAAAGTTTCCAGCCAAGTGGAATCAGAAAAGTTGTGGAGTTCCAGCG